GCTCTGAAGTCAATTCATTCTTATTCGTGCTTAAAGATTCCATGAGGAAATCCCCAATTCAATCAGTAGTTGGAAAATCCCAAGTTTCCAGTCCAGAAATTGTGGACAACACTGCTAGCGCTACTGCACAGACCTCCACATTTCCGGTTCCAACAACTTTTTTTTATTTCATTAATTTGCGCAAGAGATTACATCCTCACACATGATAACATGATACATACCCATTTCTTAATCTTAACACGATCCAGAAGCTAGATTTCTAGACCTAGGCCTAGATTCCTCAACGAAGACTGGATCTCGAGTCTAGATCTCTAAATCTATATTATATATCTAGATTCCACAAGATCTCGATCACTTGAAGAAAACGAGTCGCTGCTCACTCAATGTTGATGAATGATTTGATTATGCTGATGGGTCCGGGCCAGTTGTGCTATCTGGACGTCCCAGCAGGAGAACCATGTAGTCATCATGTAGTCTAGGCCGACTGGTCAAGGCGTTCTGTGGTCACTGTGGTCATCAGACTTCATCAACTCGTAGATGTAGCCAACAAGGATGAGCCCGGGAAGTGTCGGCACGATGTGGCACCGTGTGTGAACACCCCTTGTCCTCACATCCACGGGGCAAGGCGCTCAGGCTAGGAGGGGAATACAGGGGGGCGCCTTGGCCGGTTGAGTCATGCACCAGAGGCGCGCGCTCACACACACACACACACTCACACACACACACATACACACACACCCCTCTGTGTGGCAGGGGGAGCACAGCCCAAAAACCGTTGTTCAATCGATACATGACGGAGATGGAGCGCCGGGAACCGAGGGGCCGAGAGTTCTGGCACTGCAGGCAGGCGGTGCCATTGTGTGATGCGACTGTGCTATTGTTGTATTGTTCTTCCCACCCTCGTCTGCTAGACAGGACACACACACACAGATCTCAAAGCAGAAACAAGACTTACCCCACGGATATTTTCCAGAGAAATCCAGAACACGTTCACAGAGCGAGCCTGGCTTTGTTCTATCCGCTCGCCTACAAACACAGACTCTCCCTGTTTCTCCCCTCACTCTCGGTTTTGCTCGCTCTCGATTCGGCAAAACGTCAAAACACTCGCCACAATTCGGCTCGGGTAATTTGCATAAATTTACCATGACCTCATCGTGACAACCGTCAGGCAGCGTCCATATCCACCCAATGCACATGCGCAATGGTCGGTCATGTTGACACTTCCGTTATACTCAATGATATCATATTATGATAAAGCCAAAACCAATGACCATGAGAACTGAGCCTGGGCACTAACGTGGTAGCGACGCCATTTCCATAAGCCTGAACAGGGGTTGGTTGAATGTCAACTAATAAGATGGAGTGGGTCACAAAGTGACGGAGCCCATTTCCGTGATAAAAAGGAGTCGACATTTGGGCTGAACGCTTATTAATTTTTCAGAACGTCTTACGTCCTGCTTAAAACTTTTTTTTTAAATAAAAAATTTCAAAGGTAGACCCTTTGGCCTGGCCCGTGAAGACGACAGTAGGCCTACCTCACGAGTTCAGCATCACTTTCAACACGGAATGATGTGATTGAGAAGAAGGAGGAGAAGAAGAGGAAGAAGAAAAAGAAGAAGATCAGTTTTATTGAATTTAGTAACAGCATACTTCATGAGTTGGTTCAGCCTTGAAAGGATTCTTTGCATATAATAATATGCAAGCTGTGGTAAAGCAGCTCTGAAATAAATAATAATAACAATAATGGATTGCATTTATATAGCGCATATCCACTTATGCAATGCTCTATGCGCTTAACATGATGCATATTATGGATTTACAAATCAATTTTAAAGGTACATAGTGTTACATACTCATGCAAACACATATTCACTCACGCACGCACCACACACACATACATACACACATACACACATACGTACATATGCACATACGCACATACAAACTCACAACAATCTACAGCTTGGATGCATTCTGTCTAATCGAAATATGATGAAAATAGAAATGATTTTAGTTTCTTCTTAAAAATTTCTAGATTTTCTGCTTCTCTGATAGTTTTTGGAAGCCTATTCCAAACAAGTGGGGCAAAATATGAAAAAAAAGTTGGCCATATGATTTGTAATTTATTTATTTTAGGCTTAACAAGGGTTGTTTTGTCACTTGATGATCTGAGCGTTCTAGGAGGCACATGGGGTGTTAAAAGCTGTTTTAGATAGTCCGGTGATAAATCATTTAAGCACTTGTAGCAAGTTAAACAGATTTTATATATGATACGCTCTTTCACTGGGATTATATGAGATTTTTGTGTCACAAGTTCCTTGAAACTCTTACTCAACTCATAGCCACATGAATTTACACCTTCAGTTGAAGATCTCACTTGAAAACTGGCATACGTCACTTATGGCATAATATTAATTTTGTTCCAAGCATTGATTCATTTGGACCCCCGCCGTATTTAACATGTAGAACTGTTATTAAATATGTTACTTGTACATTACCAGGAGGCCTTAGGAATTAAACATTTTGAAGCTAGGAGAGAAGCCCGCACGCTGCGCATATCCACAAGTGGAAATGAAGCGTTTAAATACATAAAAATTTGCGGGACTCCTCTCAATTAGAGTTGGCCACCTTGGCCATAGCAAAAACCACTACTTATTGGTATTCTATTTCTTTCTGTTTAAAAATATTTTAAAGAAATAATAATATTCCTCTGCGGATGCATTGATGACAGTCCGGCCTTGATGGATGAATTATGATTAGTAGTAGTGCGTTACTGCAGTTCGTTGTCCTTCGGTAAAACTGGACTCTTACATGGATTTCTATTTTTAGACTTACTTGTCAGGCCCGCAAATATAGAAAAGAAAGAAAATCAGTTTCAAAGAAGTGCACAGATTCTTACTCTAAAGTGGACAGCGCTCTTACTTAGACAGAGATCACTATGTAGGCATAATATACTAGATCTAGCTAGATAATATTTTATAATCTCTGGTATATTTTTTCGTAGTTGGTGAATACTTCAAAAATAACGTCGAAAAATGAAACTGACGTTGTAAACAAAGGAGGTGCACCCATATTTGTCCGCAATGACCAACGCCACTGTCTGCATGACCTTTTCTACTACTTCCGGCCTACTCCGACCAGTAACGCCCAACACTCCATGCTCTTTTCACAATATCTTTGGGATTTCCATGTAGGTCATGGATAGTCCTACTGCGCATGCGTTTTGGGGGGTTTCTATCGTTAGACCAAGAGCATGTTTTGGACTCAGAAAATTGTGTTCAGAGAATACCTTCAGCTTGAAAATAATGTAGATCTACATGTAATATTCTAATAGCCTCTGGCAAAAATGTTTAATTTGCATTATACAGTCATCCTTAGCTATTAATTTTTATTTGGGAACTATGTTTTTCTATTTTGTCAGGCACTGGCCTCAAACGGTAAATGTATTCCTGCGCGCTCCAGTTCTATTTTTATCTCATTTTTTTTCGTATCCTCTTCCGACACCACAAGTCATTTCAAGTCGATACCAAGTACATTTTGTGACCAAGTCGTGACATTCCAGTCACACTGATTCGGTAATCAAGTGCTCTTCTTCTTCTTCTTCTTGTTCTTCTTCTTGTTTTTGTTGTTTATTCGGAAAAAGTTCTTGCAAGTTTGAAATTCATCTGGAGCCTATCAAGTACTCTGACAAGTACCAAAGATCGTGTGTGGGATATTTGCTTGCAAGTACTTGGTATCGATCCCTCACCGGCACTTTTCTCGTCTCGATCGCCATTTTGTCTGAATTCAACACTCCCCTCTAAGGGGAATTGAAGAATCAAAACATTAGCACGTTGTCTGCTGGATTTTAACTTCTGAGAGAACCAAAGAGTCCACATCTTGAGTGAGTAGGCCTACTAGAATCTATGTGGTCGCCACAAGCTAGCGGGTTTTATGCATGGGGGAGGAAAGTGGTAGAGAATCTGAGTTGGATCAGAAAAGAAGTCAGGCTTTCTCTTCACCATTAGATCTGAAATGAGTAATCGTTGGCTTGCCTGTTGACATCAACTCTGCCGCCTGGGGTCAGGGGTTATCACTGAATAATAATAACAATGAATTAATCTTATTCTTGTTGTCCGTGAGCTTTTCTTAGATCGTGACAGGTCTGAACCTTTTTATGAAGTCGATATCTAGAATCTAGATCTAGATTTAGAGGTCGGTAAAAATTACGATAGAGAGGCTGTACTGTAGCCTACTCCCTACTGAAGTTGAAGCCAGCCGTTGGTGTGACTTTGTGAGAGGTCTGTGGTGTGCGGGTCCCACCTTGATTGCTTTGAATGAGTGAATCGCAGATTCTGAAATTATTTTTTAAAAATTTGTTTTTTTGTTGTTGTTGTTTTGTTTTTGTTTTTGGGGGGGGGGGGGTGGGAGGTGATGATCATATAGATAAAGCATTTAAAAAATTAATAGTAGGCCCTATGGCCTATAATAGTCCTATCTTTTCAGAGCTCCGATGGACATGTCCTGCCTCACACCACGCGTCACTCAGTGTATTTGTTTGACCTGGCTGGATGACCTGATAGTTATAATGGGGCGTAATATTAGGCCTATAGAATCTATATATACAATAAATGTATATTTTTCTATCCAAATTTCCAAGAAGAAGACAATCTTATTGATAACGGCTTCCCATGGATCAGAATATTATCTACCCTCCACGCCCTCACCACCCTGGATCGAACCCGCTACTTTGGTCTGAGAGGCAAGCACCTTACCTTGCAGCATGCCCCCTGTAGATCCAAAAAGCAAGCGAGTTGACGTGCTCTTGTTTGATTTTTCTGTGCTCTACAGGAGCAGCCTACTTCCTTCTCTAGCGGCGCAGTTGCCCTCCCTTGTGTGGAGTATGGAGCTGAACGCGCTGGGGATGTCCCAGTTTGACACGTTTGATGACGAGGTCTCGAAAGAGAGCAACGACCTCACAGTCGATGCTGGGTAACTCTTCTCTCTTTGTCTCTGGGATATCGTGGTGTGGCGGGCCCTTGTGTTTCTTGTATCGACTTAGGGGTGTATATAGATAATATTATTTGTTATAGTGGTCTTGTTGTGTTTCTTGATGTTAGAGTGGTCCCTGTGTGTTACTTGTCTTAGATTCAGTGGCTTGTATTGAAGCTGTGGTCTTAGACTTTGACTAATTCTGTTATAATGTTATATAGTGGTCCTGTTGTGTTACTTGCCATAGACATAGACTTAACAGTTTTATTATAGTGATCCTAAATGGGAAATTGGTATGAAATCATCATTTTACGATTGAGAAAGGACTGAAGAAACAAGGAAATAGGAACTTTCAGCCAAGTTGATGACTTTTTATGCATTGAATACCTGTAATTGTATAGAGTACACATAGCCACCTCATGATGCAACAACAAAAATATGACAAACTAACCACTTTCCATAATCACGGATCTCTTACGTTTGTTATACAAGAAGACTTTTTGCAAGCAGTGTCTTTTTAGGGGGCCCAGGAGAATATGTCTTCATTCGTTTCATTGTCTGTATTTGGGAAATGTGCGGCGCGGTTGTGTCCCAAACTGGGCCATCTGTCCTGATGCAATCTTGTCAATTTTTTATTCGTGTGATTTGTCCTAGACTGAGTCCTGATGGCCCGTTCCTGAGTAGTGTGGCCCAGCCCGACCTGTCTCAAGGTGAGTGCTGCACAAACCATTATTATTCACACTTATATTACTATTATTATGCTCACTCATCGGTACCATTATATACTGAATCGGTCCCATTATTATGCTGACTTATTGGTTTGTTGTATCATAACTTGATCAATCTTTCACATACACTATTTATACACCTAGATATGGTGACTTAAATCTTCACATACACTATTTATACACCTAGATATGGTGACTAAAATCTTCACATACACTATTTATAAGTACACCTAGATATGGTGACTTAAATCTTCACATACATTATTTATACACCTAGATATGGTGACTTAAATCTTCACATGCACTATTTATACACCTAGATATGGTGACTAAAATCTTCACATACACTATTTATACACCTAGATATGGTGACTTAAATCTTCACATACACTATTTATACACCTAGATATAGTGACTGAAGTCTTCACAAACACTATTTATACACCTAGATATGGTGACTGTAATCTTCACATACACTATTTATACACCTAGATATGGTGACTTAAATCTTCACATACACCTAGATATAAGGTGACTTAATTTTTCATGCTTGCATACTTCTTTTTTTCTTTTTTTAATTGGACGATAACCGTCCACCCGATATAAAAGAGGGGCAGATTTCTGTGTCCCTCGGGTGCCTCGGGCAGTATCCACCTCGCTAAACAAGTGGGCACAAGGCCGGAGGAGAAGCTGAGAACAGATACCACCTTTGATCTTAGCCAAAAGGCCGAGAAGCGTACTTTTTACATTTACAAAGTCACAAAGTGTTGTGTTGTCACATGACCTTTGGTGTGTTGTCACATGACCTTTGGTGTGTTGTCACATGACCTTTGGTGTGTTGTCACATGACCTTTGGTGTGTTGTTTCTCCACATTGTGTGTTTGTTTCCCCAGGTCTTTCCATTGGTTCAGGCACTGAGCTTGGGGGTCACTCAGAGGTGAGTTATTGCCCTTAGTGAGAGGTGAGAGAGATAAGTTATTGCCCTTAGTGAGAGAGATAAGTTATTGCCCTTAGTGAGAGAGATAAGTTATTGTTCTTAGTGAGAGGTGAGAGAGATAAGTTATTGCCCTTAGTGAGAGAGATAAGTTATTGCCCTTAGTGAGAGAGATAAGTTATTGTCCTTAGTGAGAGAGATAAGTTATTGTCCTTAGTGAGAGAGATAAGTTATTTCCCTTACTGAGCGGCTCCACAAGGCCTGACGATCTGTGATCTCGTTGGTTCCGAGAGTAAGGAACAGAGTGGAGTCACCTCCCCCTGTTTGTCCTGCCCGGCACCAAGTGTAAACTCCCTGCTGCTGTCAGGGTCAGGCTGTCAGGGTTCTACGTTATACTCTCTGTTTTGCTGCTGTCACGGTCACAGTCATGCTGTCAGGGTCATGCTGTCACGGTCACAGTCATGCTGTCAGGGTCATGCTGTCAGGGTCATGCTGTCAGGGTCAGGCTGTCAGGGTTCTATGTTATACTCTCTGTTGTGGACTAGGAGAATAGGAGAGGCAAAGTGTCAAGTCATTTGAAGGACACCCCACTCCCCCTCTCCCCCTA